ATGTACGATTGTTGTAACACTGTTCAACCAAAAACAATGCCTCGATGGCGTTTTGAAGATAAACACATTGCCAATCATTTGTGAAAATTTCAAAACAAAAGGTCAAAGCGTCTTGGAGCTATTTTTTTTAAAGTTCTGGGATGTGCACTAAAAAGAAGCTGAGATAATTGCTAATTTGCATAACAATTCAAATTTCCAAGTGCCCATGAACCTGCATCTCTACCTTAAGTTTAATTGATGCGTGCATGAAAGTCGCACAGAATGGAGTCATTTTCTTATAACTACCTTACACCGGTGACCGCCGAATTCGGCCAGATTCAATCTTTTGCTGGAAATCATGGTTTCAAAATTCAATGTCAATTTTAGAACATACATGAGCAAGGTTATCGACATGATCGCTAGTTCCATGTTCTGATCAGAGAACTTTGTAAGTAGCTCCCTGTTCTGGTCAAATAGAATAAAAACGGAATGCACAAGGGCACTGTAACAATGTTGATTAGATGCCCAGAAGTCTTTTCATAACGTCGTATGGCGACATTAGACACTCTTGGCCCGAATGTCTAAGTGTAACTGAAAGGACGTAGACCCGATCTAGGGGCGTACGCCCACTGGCGTACGAGAGTATGAGAGCTACAAACTTTACACTCGGGTTTTACTTCTTACCTTTTGGATTAAAAACAACTGAAGACATTGTCGCTTGGCAAGTATTCCGGTCAATAATATACTAGTACAAGTAGGATATTTCACAAGACGTGCACAAGCAATAAACACTCAGGTGAAGTCGTGCAAATTACAGAAACGAGCAATCTTATATTCACATGTTTTTCTTTCCATCAGCTGATGAATGCTTCCGGCTTATGCATTTCCCCGCTGGACTTTGCGCAAACTAAGTGCGCATGCGTTATCACCAGCGCAGCCGAAACTTTCAAGATGGCTGAATATTGAATGTCAAGTCTGCGTGAACTTTGTTCAAGATCAATCGTTGTGACTGTGTGTTCGTCGTTCTGTCTACTCAATGATTGGATGATTATTTTAACGAAGAACCAGTCACTAGACTATTATTCCGTCCGTGGATATAATGTACACTCAAAACCGACCAAGAAATAGAGCGACCTTGGTAACCAAAGACGTGAGTCAAATTTCGATGCATGATCGTCGGACTGTTTAGTGTGTTTATGTCATTTGGTAATTTTTCCTGTCTAGATATTGACACGGAGTTTTCAACGCTTTTCATTTTTCAGATAAATCCTTTCGGGGTTCAATTGAGTCTCCAAGCCTCGGCTACTACAGTTAACGAAAGGCCAGTGAAACAGGTAACAGCCATTCCCAAAAATAGTTGTTGCTTGATCAAGTTGATGCAGTAATTTCTGCTGTTATGTTTTCGTTTGGTTTGGTAATGAGAGGTGGTGGTGGCACAGGATGGCGGCTATCTTTTAAATGGATGGTTTATAATTTATTGAAAGGAAACTTTCAATATATTGTAATGTATTATGAAACATTTCAACATTTGTCCCACAGAAACCGCCATTAACAATCTAATGATCTAAATGTTGTTAACTCGAATCTAAGTATTCTCTATAAAGACCCAAAGTGAAAATGTGAATAAACAAAAACATGCTTTCTTCTGGGTTCCTTTCTCTTTTTATTATTGTTGCACCGATCAGTATGTTTTATTGTACATCTCCAGTTTGTCTCGTTGCCTCCCATAAATAGGTTAGTTGTTTTGTGAACACACAAACAAAAATACAATAAGTTCAGTATACTGAGTCAGTGAGTGATGTGAGTGAATTTATTTGACTTTACCGGGTTACGCCTTCAATTTATAGTTGTACAATGTACATGTTGTCATTAGTGGTTGCATAACAACTACAATAATATTAATTAAGTTATACATGTGTACTAGTATATAAGTTCTACATTGTATACTCCCAATATTTACCAGAGAATTTGCTGTCATACTATTGAGTTACCATACTATTGAGTTACCATACTAGAGTTACCATACTATTGAGTTACCATACTATTGAAAGCATTTGAATGGGAGGGGTCTACATATTCAAGCATGTTAGTAAACTGAATCAAAGTGTCAGGAACTGAATACCTGTTTATTATATAGTTAATGTTTAAGGGAAGACCGTTTGACATTGGTGTAGGTCATGACTTTTACTCAGTTAAATCTTAGTTGCATACAACAAGTTAATTTAAAAAATCTCTGAACTGCTAGTTATGTTAGGAATTGATAAAGAATTAATTTTGTTCCAGCTATGATTTCCAAAACAAATTGTTTGATTGTAGATTTCTTGGTCCACATGTGTTATTTTTCTTACCCAAACACATCTAATAATTACTGTTTGAATTATTAAACCTATCAAATTTTTTTTACTGACAAGGCATGCAAATTGGAGCCATTCTATGTTCTGTATGTGGACTTTATGCACATGCATTCCTAGCACAGCAACCAAAATATTATCCACAATTGCTAAGTTACCATGATAAACAACATATAAATATCTTGTAAAGCCAGATGACAGCATACACAAACATGTATCATGACTGGATGGTTACGGAGGCTTTACATGGTCAATAACTATGCTACTTCACACTAAATTATACATAGGTAATAACATTTGGAATGAAGTAAAACTTTCTAATGTACATGTGAATAAAATACAACTGTGCTAGTTTGTTTGAAATTGTGTCTGTATACAATGTATATTTCAATAGTACAGGTCTGTATGTGCAAATAATTTAGGAAGGAAATACATAAAGAATTTAGAATTTTCAATTCATGATAATTGTAAAAGATTTAACAATGGATTTATTGAAGTACATGTATAAAGCTATTTAAATTCACACTGACAAAACAGTGCTTAATTTTGTTTGTTGTGGCATGTTTTTCAAGAATTGTTTTGAAATACATGTAGAAAAATATAAGAGGTTAGTGTTTTACATACCACTATTTTCTCCATAATTACTTTTATTAACCTTTACTAAGCATTTCTCTCTTTGTTCGTACATCCCAACAATAAGTGTAAATGATTTTGACTGGGTTCATATGTTTTTGACTTTGTGTGGTTCATGTAATAATAATTAATAATTTTTATTGCAAAATCGTATCCTTTTTGAATATTGAACACAATAATTAAGAAAGAAGTAAACATGCAACTGTAAAAAAATCAATTTACTTTGGGGCAGCTGGTAGTATTTTTGAATTGACTTTCTCTGGCACGGAAACAGCTGTACAGTAGATGCTAAGTTGATTATCATTTGTTATTATTTGTTAGCGTAACCAACTTATTCGCATTTGCATTGTTGCACTGTTTTAAATTTATTTCCTTCAACATTTGTTTCATTTTTAACATTAGCAGTTTTCTAATTTTCATACAACAAGTAGGAAGTGCATCTCGTATTCAACCTCATTTTGGTTGCAGAGCACTTTCTACCGTACCACTTCTGGGTATGTTTTTGTATCACCCTTTTTGTATTTCTAAATTTTGTGCGCTAATTCTTAACATTGTTGATTTTTCCTCATGTTTTGCATTAGTTACTGTTGATAAATAATTTTCGTACTGTCAATTTTTCTTTAGCAGTCTTTATGTATGTACATGTAGCTTATAGTGCAAAATGTTTTTCTCTATATCAAGTCTATATGCTTCATCTACTAGTATATTTTCATTCTTGGTTTTTATTTTTAGCCAATATTTTAACATCTGTTTTATATCAGTGAGTAAAATAAGGTGTCTACCTAATTCCAAAATATAGGCCAAGTTTTGCAATTTTTTTTATGGAATTCCTCCATTGATATCCCACTACCAGTATTAAAAATTTCTTTCCGTACAGTCTTTTGTCCAAATTTCACTGCAGTAAATCAGGAAAGGTCCACACTACATGTATCAAATAGTTTTAGGTAGTTTTTGATAGGAATATTGTTTTCAAAGCACAGTAACTACTTAGATAGTGAAATATTTCCCCTCACTAATGTCTCAGCACAGGTTTTTATTTCCTTTTCAGTATTCACATTAACTCTTATATTTTAATATCTTAAAACTCAACACCACTCGAAATTTTATGATGCCACAACCGCCTGTTTGTGGCCCCTCTCACATTGAGCTGTTAAAATACTGATGAGAATATAAACAGGTTTTGGAGAAGACAGCTAGCTCTATTTGAGTTGTGCAGACAATTAAGTTGAAAGGACTTGCATGGTTCTGTGTGTATACCTTGTCAATGTTCTACTTATATCTGAGAAGTAAGAAAGTATGTCACTGATACTATATTGAAAAATAAAGATAGGTGTGTCAATTTAGAATTTGTTTTTACTACTCCTTGAAAATAAATTGAGTTGCTGAAGCATGCTAACCATGGCTACACATA